GGACAGAAAGTGCAACAATGAAATCTGAAGACATATTGGGAATGTGAAAGATGTCTTCCAAAAGTTAAGCAAAATATTAAGAAACGAGAAAATTTTTAGAAACAAAAGAAAGAATACTGAACTATTACATGATATCCATCCTTGTATATGGCAGTAAAGGCTGAACAATTTCATAGATAAAAAAAGTCTTGAGGCAACAGAAATATGTTTGTACAAACAGATGCTGAGAATATCATGAACGTTTGAGCAGCAACAAAGTTCTAGAGACAATGGGAATAAAAAGGACACTTACACTTCACATCAGTAAGAGATAGTTGAAATTTCTAGAATACGTAATGAGGAAAGAGAGCTTGAAAAATTTGATACTTACAGGACAGATTGAAGGCAAGAGGGATAGAGGAAAACAATGCATAACCTGTTGACCATGTTCACCATAGTCTTTGAATATAGAATACAGCGCAGTACGTAATCTGTTCAATGAAACAACATTAAAGATTAACACTCACGAGTCAGACACTCTACTGAATCTGACTATATCACCAATACCACCAGCAGTAATTCTTGTTCTGTAATTCTTCAGTCTTCAATATCAAAGGTTGGCAGTGAATATTCGGGAAAAACATGGCCGCCTTTATACATGTCGCATTGAATATTTTGAGCCTTCTAATTGGTTAACCCTTCTATTGGTGAACTATAAAATGAGTCAGCTCATTTTGGCTGGCTCACTTGTACACCAGGGTATCCAAAAATTCCAACATAACCTCTCTGGTGAGCTTGAGTTAATGTATGGCTTAGCAGGGTTTGGGAGAGATGGTGAAAAGACAAAATTTATTAAGAACTACAAAGGACAGGAAGTTGTGGCAAGTCATGATCACCAACATCCTGAAGAGACATGGCATATAGAAGAAGAAAAGTATGGCTTTGTATATATATATATATATATATATATATATATATATATATATGTGAACCATCTATAATACAGTGTGAATATATTTGCTTGTGAAACCAGTAAAATCTTTGACAATGACTTCATGTTAACACACAAGATGTATATAAAACTATAGTTGGGACTGGGCATTGACTTAACACTATTTTTGAGTTAATATTCAAGTTCTGGCCTTTGGCATTGGACACTATTCCATATGTCATCATGGCACTCCATTAGATGTATTTTTTTTTTATTTAGTTTATAAAATAAATATGATGATGGTTATTCTCCAAAATATATTTGTATCCTGTCAACATTTGATGAAGAAGCAAGTGTCAGATATTGATTACCTACAGCCAAGTTTTGTGGTTATCTTCATTCTTTTTTCTCTTCAAATTGTATGATGGACAAGGTTCTTAATAGCTAGTTATATTTGATATCTCTTGATCGAAGAGCCTGAAATGATAGACGACTGTCTCCAGCATATGAGTGCAAACATCTAATTAGTGTCATATATCTCCTATATACTAAAAATGGAGTATTGATGTCTAATCCTCACTTACCAGCCTTGAGTTCAAAAGTGTTTACACAGCCTTGTGGGTGATTGTTTTCCACCTACAACCTCTCTCCCAATCGTCATTCCCTTCATATACCCTAACTCAGAAGATAGCTTATTCTCCAGAACTGTTACATTGTGGAACGGACTTCCAAATGGATGCTTCCCCAATCCCTACCATATCTTGACCTCTTCAGGTCAAGTTTTAACTGTTATCCATCATACATATCCTTAAAATATGCATCTTTTGCTCCCACCTTGTATGCATTTACAGCAATCTCGTTTAGTAATCCTCTTCTCTGAGTGACTCTTAGGCTTTTATTTGAAGAAAAATAGTATATAAAAATACAAGAATTATATTCATGTTCTGAGGATAGCTTGAACCATGAAAATGAAAATCACCATGCAGTGTTGATTCCTATATCCACACTGTCTTTATCTGTTTATATCCATAGAATGTAAGTTATTATTTTAACTTTACTTTTTGTTTTGTATTGCATTTACAATGTGAGCCTGATTCTTTCACTTGTTTATAACAATTATTGTATTTACAGGCATATAAGATGCATAAATTATACCTTTAAGACTGAAAGCACCTAAATGAGCTTGCATATTTTACATGCTTCCAGTTTGGGGTAATACCAGAATGCACCTGCATTTGTGTAGCTTGTATTTCGATTTAATGCCAGATCACATGATCAACTAGAGTTGCTGAGAATCTATAACTTTGTAAAAGTTGTAGATTTCCAAAACTGTCTCTCATAATCAATAATATCGAGAAGGATTAATTTGGTATCATCTGAAATTTGGTTCCAGTTGGTATGGAATGATCACTAAAAACATCCTCTCCTCAAATTTATAGACAAATCCTACTGATACATGCTTCCTAATCAACAAATACGGACCACTTCCTGATCTCTTCTGCCATATATTTTTTTCTTTCTTTTCTTGAAGTCAGAATGCTACAGTCACTTGACTGTATCCCTTTTGCGTGTGAACCCCATTCTTGCTTTGTGAATCTTGTGTCTTGTTACTGTTGCTTTATCTAGTTTTGATTTGCATATATATTGTTCACTTGATATTATTTGCCTTGTTCTTTTTCTTCCTTATTGTTTATTGGAAACTTAGTCAACTCAGTTTCAGCAATTTTGCCAATTACTCTTAACCATGGCCTGCTCCACAGAAAGTCAATTTGCATTCATATAAAATGTAATACTTGATTTTCAATCGTTTTTGAGATATATCAATTTTATTGCATACATCACATTCATATTTTTCAATAATTCAGCCAGGACTCCAAGGATTTAACAATTGAAATCTTTTATGGATTATAGGGTTAAAATGTTATTTGGAAGTGTAACCCCCCTACTGCAATTTATCCAAGGCCTATATCTGTCTGCTTTGAACTTTAGTACTCAGACCTGATTTATTATACATTGGATGTATTAAAAATTTTTTTTTTTTTATTTAAAAATAAAATACTTCAGTACCTGAATATATCTATTTTACTGTTATAGGTTCAAAAAGGAAAGATTATTCCAGATCAGTGCCGCTTTCTTTTTATATAAAATGACCCACTTTCTCAATTTTATTAGTTGAAGTATAAAAATCTTTGTATAATCTTTTATACTTTTGCTCTCCAAAATAAATGTCAGTATATTTGTATATGTTTACCTAACTTTTGGGTCAATTGATCTTTCAAGTTTATATAAGATTTTACAAGGACTTTATACAATATATGTCAGGATGTGGGTGATCATGGAGCTCCCCAACTTTCTATTCTTTGTTTCTCTAAGCAGTGTTTGTCTCTTTACTATTCTTCCCAGTCCCTATTCTGTCATCTATTCCTCATTGCTCACATGTTCCATCCATGGTATTATCAACAAAGAAACACATTTCTGTTGTCTCAAACCTCCTCTTCATTTGTAATGGAATTGGGAGATTGAGATTGCATAGCAGTTCAGCAATCTTTACTTTGTTTCTAACAAAGCTAATACATTTTGTGCTTAGGAGCTCAGTGTTGACTTGATAAGTTTCTGAAAAAAGTTTCCAATCAACCACCAAGTAAAGTTATTTTCATGACGCTAACCCTAACCCCGCTATCCAAAGAGAAGTTATATTCTGACCCTGCCAGATATGTAAACTTGTAAATGTGTAATAAAGTAGTACTTAAGTCAACCATGTATATTTTAAGATTTTATAAGTATCCAAAATTAATTCTTTAGAGAAAGCAAAAAGTGAACAGGTTGGACATTCTCAAATTGGTTAAGATTATCAATTAAATAATATATATGTTTTTAATACATATTAAGAAGTAATTGAATGGATCGGTCAGTCAGTTATGTGCCATACGTGATACACACTTAGGCAATCATGTATCTTTTGATACATAACTGATGAGGCAGATTTTTCCCGCAGTAGGTTGCCAGTTCTTACTGCAGTAGACCAGTTGGCATGCAAGACTATAGAACTCAGTCTGTCCTTCTATTTACCCATAGCTGGGGGGGAGAAGAAGTGGATTCATACCTTTCCTAATGGTATTAGCACATAAGTGAATGTAATAGATTCGACTGGAATTCGATCTCAGCTCTCTGATTCCTCAATCCAAGCTCTATTCATAACTCCACCGTGCATAATAAAAACCTTAAAATAAGAAAGACAGAAGAGTCTCTTGACAAGATGAAGAGAAAGAAAGAAAAAAAGTAAATAAATAATAAAAAAAGATGGATAGGAAGGATGATTAGGGGACAAAAAAAAAGAGAGAAAAAGAGAGTAAGATAAAAATAGACTTTAAAAGAGAGAGACAAGAGAAAGAAATTATAAACATGACATAGACAGACAGACAGACAGACAGAAGGATAAATAGTGTGAGTTTTGTTACCCAGGAAAAAGTCAAAGAAAATATGAATCATTTAAGGAAGATGATATTTCAGATATCCTGCCATAGTAGACTGACATTTTGGAGGGTTTAATGAATTGAAGGTTTCTTTGAAATGATATTTGGAGTTTTGAAAAACTTTACAACCTTCAGGTAAGTAACATTGTAATATGAGCAGAGAAATTACTTCAGACATTTTTGGTGGGGTTTGTTTTTTTTTCCTTCTTCTTTTTTTTCTCTGCTGAGAATGTCCCTAAGCTGAGCTATATGATACCGATAAGAAAAGAAGAGTGGATACAGGTGGGGTAAAATGTTTCCTTACAAGTTACAAACATCCACTGCTGCTGTGGGCTCTTGAGTTTTGCAGGAAGGTTGGGTTAGGATGAAAAGAAATAATTGACATAAATAGAAAGAAAAGCTGCAGGTAAAATAGAATTTAAGGTGGAAATTATCTGGAGAAATAGTTAAAGAAAGGAAAAATGAATAGAGGAGAGAAATATAAGGAAAAGTTTGTTTGAGTGAACAAGAAAGCAAAGAAAAAGAAAAGACTAATTTGAGACTAAAATAGACTAATTTGAGAAAACGTGAAGCTAATTACAATAATAAGAAAGATTTAATGTGTGGAAGAAACCGATTTATAAGAAAAACAAAGAAAAAGAAAGGCTATGAGCATAACAAAGAAAAAAAAAAGTGAGACTATGAAGATATCGAAGATAAGAAAGAAAGAGACTATAAGAATAACAAAATAAGAAAATGATGTAAAATAAAAAAAAAAAAAGAGCTAGAGAGACTTGGAGAAAAATAAATGAAAAATGAGGTAAAGTAAAAAAAAAAACTTGGAGAATAAGAAATGAAGGAAAATAATGGTGCAAAGTAAAAAAATAAAAAACAAAAAAGAAAGACCAGAGATTATGAAGATAACTAATGAAAGAAAATTATGTCATGTAAAAAAAAAAAAAAAAAAAAAAAAAAAAAGTAAATTGAAGAATGAGATCTTAAGAAATGACAGATTTAGAAGGACATGAATGATTTGAAAGAATATGAAAAATAATGGAAAGAAAGAAGGCAAAAAAGGAATATTTTCAAGGGAATAAGAAACTGAGAAGAAAAAGAAGTGGAAGAACAGAGGATATAAAAAATACATATAAAATTAAGCTTTTTCTGAAAGCAGAGAAAAGAAGACAGAAATTTAAAAAAAAAGAATATAGATAAAAATGAAGTCGAAGAAAGAAGAAAGGTAGATTGATGTAAATAAGGAAGGTAAAAGAATATGGCAGAAATGGTTGAAAATAGTGTATTAATATTGAAAATGAGAAGAAACTGAAAGAATAAAAAATAATATTTGGAAAAAAAAAGAGGATGAAGTGAGATCACGAAAAAGAAATAGAAATATATAAAGAAACAATATGAAGAACAGAACAAAGTTGAAAAGAGGAAAAACAAATTGAGACGAGAGTAAAAAGCAAATAATAAACTTGAGAAAGAAATTATTGTTTTTATACATTATTTACATTATTTGGACTATTGTCCTCATCTTTGTTGCCATATTCATCACAACGTTTCAGCCGTTGTACGCTCCGGCCTTCTTCAGGTGGTTGGAATGTCGAACTGAACCCTTTATTTCTCTCACCGGGGTAGACTGTTCTAGTTCCACGTGCCAAGTTTGATGGATGTCAGTTATCAGTTATCTCCTGTTAATTTCCCTCTGATTCATTTTCAACCCTTTACTGCTTATTTAAAGCCAGAAAATATTTTTAGATTGTAAGAATGTTACTGGGAGATAATAATGGTTTAGTAATACAAGTCTTACTAATTAAGTCATAGCTGGGGGTGGGGAGAAGTAGTGGATTCATACCTTTCCCAACGGTATTAGCATGTGAGTGAATATAACAAACCCTAACGTGAACTGGAACTTTGCTTTCTGATTAACAATTCCAAGCTGTTATACATTACACCACACACATGTCCAAGCTTAAAACATCAGGTATTCCTAAGCTGCCATCCATTTAGGTACTAACTAAGCTCAATGTTGCTTAACTATGGTGATTGTATGGAAACTAGTGTTTGAATATGGTATAAGCCTAAAAGAAATGAAGAATGAAATAAAAAGAAATTAAGAAAAGCAAGTTTGAAGATTAGAAGTAATCTTAGGGATGAAAATGGGGAAAAAGAATGAAAAATCTGTGCCTTGAAATAACAAAACTAGAAAGAAAAATGAAGGTGAAAACAAATGTTGTGGATTCCGAGATGAATTCGGTCTCCAATGAAGAACAAATGCAATAATTAAATATAAGAAATAAAATGTATTTACACAATCATACAAAGGGTAATACTGTTAGTAAATCTAGGAACACGGTTAGTAGCAAATACAGATAGATATATACAGTCTCGAAGTAGGACTTCCTTAGAGTATACGTGCTTGTAACTGACTTCTACAAGAGGCTACCTCACACTATTTCCGTTCGTATATTCTCTCTCTCTTTCCAGCTACCCTCTCTGACTGTCTAACTCTGGGTATTTAACGGCAGCCGTCCAAGTAACACTGGTAGAGTCCACATATGAAAAAGGGGAGGACCCCATAACAACAAATGATCAAATAAATGTGAGAGATGAATAAAAAGAGAAGAAAAAAAAAAAGGAAAAAAAAGTTTGTTCTGTCTTGTTAGGGTAAGCATATCCCGTCAACTTTTGCTTAAGGTTCATAGAACACTGTTGATATGAACAACTGACCTTCCTTCATACAATCAAAACTACAAAAACATTAATTTTCCTGCAAGTCTCTCTCTTGGATAGAGTTTAACATTTGCTACATTTACAGGGGAAGAGTGATCAATATTGAGTATATAGTATTTGTGCATATAGACTGTATAGACACAGAAATCAACAGTTGATGTTGGAGTTATTGCCCTTACCTTTTGATTGTTGTTTAGTGCTACCAGGTGGTGGCTTCTATAAAATGATGGCAGCTCTATTGGAAATGGCTCAGTTATTCAATTGTCAATATTCAGACCTATACAAGGATTGGCTTATTGCAGATGCAATTGATTCATTGAAGATTAACATACACTACTTAATGACTGGCATTCATGTTTTTTATGAGCTGATAATTGCTTCAGACATGAGTGTTTATTTGTGTTCTCACTGTGTATATCAATATCTATACTGATTAAAAAATAATATATTTGTTTATATCAATTATTCTCTCTCTCATATATATATATATATATATATATATATATATATGACCTACTTAAAATGTTATTATAGTTGATGCATTATTTAGTCAATTCACTGGATCCAACCAACACTTTTATCCACTAGGCCATGTGGATAAAAGCATTAGTTGGATTTAGTGGTTTGACCCAAAGAGTTGTGAGTTCAATACCTGACTACTGCAGTAGTGAAAAAAAATTTGGAGAGTTGAGTTAAAGGGAGATAACTGAGACAGCCAGAAGAAGCAGGGCATGTGAAACTAGAACTATCTACCCCAGTGCACAAAATAAAATGTTCGGTTCAAAATTCCAAACAGCTGAAATGTGAATATGGCAACAAAGATGAGGACAACAGTTTGAACAATGTAAATATATTGTAAATAATTACAATACCTCATCTCAGAAATACAGACAGATATTGATGCATTGTATCTGAAATAATGTCCTGTTTTTATTTATTGAACAATATATATTACATCTGTCTATTGGCCTGATCATTGAAGAAATTTTAGTAAATAAAGTTGTTCCTCACCTACTGGTACAACTCTGAGTTTCATGCACATGGCAATCGTCAGGCACAGACTGAAAAGAGATTGTCATAAGATTTAAATATTGATAACCTACCATCAAGATAGTGGAGTAGTTATGTGCATGAAACTCAGAGTTGTACTGAATAGCGAGGAACAAAATGTATATTTATTATTAGTAAAAATTTTAGCTTTGTTATAGATATATTGGGACATACATGCACATACATGGAGTATGAGAAAAAATAAATATGGCATAAAATAATGCTTTTTTCTCATCCTTATGCTATGATTTTATAGATGATGTACATGTATGTCTATATTTTAGATGGGCGTAAAAGATCCCAATGCTGTTTTATGAAAACTCAAAACAAAATACATTATTTATTTTTCCAATAGAAACGTTTTGCACACAACTCATTTATTCATTCAATGTGTTTTCATCTTAACAGTGTCCTTTAATGTGAACCTGTAGCTGCAGGTAATCTTTGACACAGACATACTCACAAAAATTTCAGTTATGAACCTATGCACATAGAAAAAGAGAAGAATAGAGATGAAAAGAAATGGGAAAAGGGGAGAAATAGAGATGAAAAGAGACGGTAAAAGGGGAGGAATATAGATGAAAAGAGACGGTAAAAGGGGAGGAATATAGATGAAAAGAGACGGAAAAAGGGGAGGAATAGAGATGAAAAGAGACAGAAAAAGGGGAGGAATAGAGATGAAAAGAGACGGGAAAAGGAGAAGAATAGAGACGGGGGGGAAAAAGGGGGGGGAACAGATGAAAACGTGAAAAGGGGAGGAATCAAGACAGAAAAGGGAGAAATAGCGATGAAAAGAAACAGAAAAGGGGCAGGAATAGGGATGGAAAGAAATGGAAAAAGTTGGAAGAATAGAGATAAAAAGAAACATGAAAATGATAGATAATAAATATATATAAAAAAGTAACAAACTGCAATTGTCACAGATGCTAGCACAGAAACAGGAAGATTTGAAATTCTGAGGAAGTATTAACTTTGCCCAGATTTCAGTTGGGTTTAGGTCAATGAAAGTACTGAGGAGATGATGGTCCTCCTGCCTATAATAGCGGTCCCAATGAGACTATCAGAGAGAATGGGAAATTTTTTGTAAATTAAGACCATCCAGTTATTTTTAGACCAGTGACAATATTAGGGAAAGAACTGGAGATTTAAGGAGGTTTTGCTATCACTCAAGCCCCCCCTCCCATTAGAAAGTACCATATAGCTCTAGTATAAAGATACAAATGCATCATAATAATGAAGTGTGGAAGATGAAATAAAAATATAAATTACATCCAGACCAAAGTTGATTGTATCCAAGGAAATTGCAAATGTGACCTTTATAGAAAAGGACAAGTTAGTGACACTCATGATTACAAAATGCAACAAACTGATCCCTTGATTCTAATTTAAGTTATAGTATTTTAGAGAATTTCAATCCATGCTGGGTCACTCAGAGTCAAAGCTTGACGCTCTTTTTTATTTATTTTATGTAAATAGTTTCAATGTTAGATTTTCTACATGAACTATAATGAAGAACATTTCCATAAAATTTTTTAATTACAACCCACACGGAAATTGAAGGGAGAAAAAAAGAAGCAAATAAATAGAAACTGTGTATCACTTCACCACCCTGGTATTATATATTTACTTGAAATTCCTTTAATGCCCCCCCTGCCCAACCAAAAGTTTGAAAATGAAGTGCTTGTTGTAGAGTGCCGGTAGCTAAGAGACCAAATGTCAAGAGAATGGAATTGATGAACTAAGTCTACCCCCCCACCCCCACAACACTCCTTGTAAAAGGTATGAATCCATTTGTTGCCCAGCTATGGGATAAATATGGTGGCGTAATGGATAGCAGCTTGGAGTGAGGAATTGGAGAGTCGAGTTTGAATTCCAGTTATATTCACTTACGTGCTAATACCTTTGGGAAAGGTATGAATCTTCTTCTTCTCCCTCCAGCTATGTGTAAATAGCAGGGCAGACCCGGTTCTATAGTCTTGGATGCCAACTGGTCTACTGCAGAAAGAAATGGCAATCTACTGCAGGAAAAAATCTGCCTCGTCGGTCATGTATTGAAAGATACATGATTGCTTAAGCATGTATCACACATGGCACATAACTGACTGAGAGTAGTTGGAGCACCTTTTATTCTATATCAAAGTAAATTTAGGGGATTGGGTTCAAATCCTCTGTGACTTAATCATTCAAGAAATGAAGATAAAAATTATGGACTCGTGTTTATGTGTGAAGTGAGTTTGTTTTTTGCACATTGTGTGTCTAACATTTCTTTTTTCCAAGATAATGGATAAAAATTTAAGAATAAATGACTAAAATATAAGTGTAATGGAAGTGGCTTGTACTCTTTTGCATCAAGGTTGCATTCTATTCAATTCATTACTACTTTCACCTTGAAATATTTGACCTTTCTACAAATGGATTAATCATATCAAAGAAAATATATTATAAAACTTCATAATTGGACAGACACTTCATTTGTTTTGATATCTTCAGCTAAATAACTGAGGTATTCAGATAACTAAGCCTGGTTCTAATGGCAGTTGATTTTTACTTTATACTATTATTCCCCCCAACAAGGCCCAAGAGTCACACAAGGTAGAGAGTTACTGCATGAAGTAGTTGTAAGAATATCAGGAAAGTAAGAAGTACATATTATGAAGATATGTAGGACAGATAACAGTTGACTCCAGATTTGAAGAGGTTAAGATTGTCATGATCACGGAAGCATTCTCTAAAATCTGTGCCAAAAAGTAATAATTCTGGTGATGTTGTCTAAGTAGAACTTCCTCCTTACCAATGGAATACAAAAGGAATGAGGACGAGTAAAGATACTCACTATAAAGGTTAGAACTAGTGGAACTAAGGAATGTAACTTGCTTGAACATTTGCCATGAAAATAGTGACAGATTATCAAGAGCCTAGCAATGCTTCATCTGTGGGAGAAGGATTATAGAGTGAAAAAAAATTCATCATCCACAAGGCCACTTAAACATTTTTTAACTTTGTCAGGGATGAAAAGTAAGGACTGGGCAACTCAAGCCCAATACTGATAGGATTGACTTATCAAGTTTGACTGTTTCTAACTGTTGTGTCGGAAACCTACCACCCCTCTTGAAGATGAACTTGTCTGCGTCTGTGAAAAAAGACTTTAAATAGTGGCAGTTGACATGGGGAAGATAGATAGACAGAGAAGTTTTTAGCTGAGCTAGTTATTGACTACTCGGGTGATTTCTGTACCTTTTTACCAACCTATTAAAACCCTTTTTATTGTTACGTGTTATTTGGCGTTTGTCTCTACTCACCCCAAATCAACATCATAACACTAACACATTGTCATATAAGTAAAAACAACCAATTGCATTCAGTATACAGTGTTAGACTAATTCTCCACTGAATCATCTGTGTGAGTCGCAAAAATCAATTTAAATTAATTAAAATTATATACAAAAGAAATTTAAATATAATGGTACAAAATTTAAAGAAGTGAATTATATTACACAGTAAAGAAATTTGAGTAAATAAAATCAGGGAAATATGTCCAAGTGACCTATAAATTTTGTGATCTACAGTGACCGTTAAGCACTGCATGGGATTTACACTTTTTTCTGCAGATACCACACCTTATCTCTTGTTTTGATTGCTTATTGAATTGTATATTGCAATTGTAAGATTTTAGATGTCTAGCTAATTTGGATTTATTTCTACATACTTTATAAGAAATTGGACAGGATAAATCTCGAGAAATTAGTGGTGTGAAGTCAGTTGGAGATCTAAGTTTATGGCTGTACATATGGATAGTGAGACAACTTGAGTGAGGCAGACATGGCTCCAAATCAAACAAAATGTATATTGTCATCATCCATCAATTCTCCTTTGTTGCAGCTCTTTTTTGCTTTTGTGTGACTGCACCTGCTATCTTCAAAGCTTTGCTCTCTTATAAATATATTTTCCTACATTTTAATCAGTCAGTAGCATCATTTTTCCAATTCATTTTATTTTATTTTTTTTCCTAATACTGTGTTTGCAATGTTTTAACAAGTGATTCATATAGTCTGCCATAAGTATAGATTCACTTTTTGGCAGTCTTTACAGAAAATAATCCCTGTCTGATGTCCAACAAGAACAAAATTACAGTGTGTCCATATTGCTACCAAGTGTCACACAGAATCAGTTTAAAGTGGGTTTAATGGCAATACTTGTGAAAAATTGTCCAAGCCTCCTTGACACTTCCCCTTTTGAGCATCCTTAGGCACTGGCCAATAAACTCAGCCCCCTCCCAAAGGAGAGGAATTGCATAAAGCGAAGACCTCCTGGGGCTTTGGCTTAATATTTTTTAAAACTTACCTGCATCAGCTTTAATCAAATATGTATTAATCTAGGTAGAGATACATCTATCAGTATGTGTAAAATATATATATATATATATATATATATATATAAACATAAAACATTAGGCAGCATATAATTTATATACAAAGAAATAATCATGCATAGAATCAATCAGCAATATTAATGCTATTATTGGCGATATCCCATCGCTAGTAGAATATAATGTATGCATAAAATACTGTTAATCCATAGAATGATGTGATTCCTAAAAAAAACTACTAAGACATAACACTATATTAATTGAACTATATACTTAGTTCATGACATGTTAACTGAAAACACTTGTAAAAATAGAATATGTGGATTTACCACATCACAAGAAAAGTTCAAATAAAAATTCTCACTTAAAATTTTGAAAAACTTAGCGTTGCGTCTTTGCACGTTTCGATATTGTACACAACCGTCAATAATAGCACATTCTCAAAAAACATCTTTCAGTCTACAAACAATTATTTCATCTCCAAGTTTTAATTTTAAAAGGAAAAAAATATGCCTGAGGATGAATAAAGGATTATTCGAAAGTACTAGCATTTTAAAAAATATAAACTGGAAACAACCGACAACAGTTTTATAAATGAGGATCCCATCATTCTATGGATTAACAGTATTTTAATGTATACATTATATTCTACTAGCAATGGGATGTCGCCAATAATAGCATTAATACTGCTGATTGATTCTATGCGTGATTATTTCTTTGTATATATATATATATATATATGTTTCAGAATCAGGAGGTGAATTAAAATACGCAACAACGTTTTTAACCTGACAGTCTCTTTTAGTGATACTTTTAAAATAATCACTTTAACACTTTATTTAAAAAAACCACAAAGAACATTACATAATTATCTTTCAAAAAAAATAACAAGTGTATGATAATTGAAAGACAGGACATTGGGTGTAATGGGAAGCGAAGGGGGAAAAGGAGATGAAGGAAAGACGGGAAAGGAACTGCGTATGCAAATGTATTGTAAATGTATACAGTAAAAGGGAAAGCAAATAGAAAACTCTGAATAACGTCAACTATAAAATATGGCTACAATGTACTGGACATTTATGAGAATTAAAGATATGTCTACCTCTCAGCAACTTAAACACCATTTACAGTAGTACCATCAGAATCCTTAGAAATGGATTATACATTAGGTAAAAGCATTCAGAACTTATCATTTGATTAATTTCTAAATAGACTAAGTCCAAAAAAGAAATATGTTGTCCACACACAAGAAAAACACAACAGAAGTATCTTGTCTGACATCTATATATATATATATATAGATGTATATTTAGGCAGCAATCCTTCCTTTATACATGTTTCATTAAAAACGACAGACAAGGTACTACAAGAAAAATTAAATAAAAATCTTAACCATAGTACCTTGTCTGTCATCTTTAATGAAACCTGCATAAATATATATATATATATATATATATATATAGTTGTATATTTAGGCAGCAATCCTTCCTTTATACATGTTT